GAACCCTCTTACACTGTTGGTGGGAATGCAAACTAGTACAGCCGCTATGGAGAACAGTGTGGAGATTTCTTAAAAAACTGGAAATAGAACTGCCATATGATCCAGCAATCCCACTTCTGGGCATACACACCAAGGAAACCAGATCTGAAAGAGACACGTGCACCCCAGTGTTCATCGCAGCACTGTTTATAATAGCCAGGACATGGAAGCAACCTAGATGCCCATCAGCAGACGAATGGATAAGGAAACTGTGGTACACATACACCATGGAATATTACTCAGCCATTAAAAAGCTTTTGAATCAGTTCTAATGAGATGGATGAAACTGGAGCCCATTATACAGAGTGAGGTAAGCCAGAAAGATAAAGACCATTACAGTATACTAACACATATATATGGAATTTAGAAAGATGGTAATGATAACCCTATATGCAAAACAGAAAAAGAGACACAGATGTACAGAACAGACTTTTGGACTCTGTGGGAGAAGGCGAGGGTGGGATGTTTCGAGAGAACAGCATCGAAACATGTATATTATCTAGGGTGAAACAGATCACCAGCCCAGGTTGGATGCATGAGACAAGTGCTCGGGCCTGGTGCACTGGGAAGACCCAGAGGGATCAGGTGGAGAGGGAAGTGGGAGGGGGGATTGGGATGGGGAATACATGTAACTCCATGGCTGATTCATGTCAATGTATGACAAAACCCACTACAATATTGTAAAATAATTAGCCTCCAACTAATAAAAATAAATGAAAAAAAAAAGTCCTGCAAACTAATGTAAGGTGTTAATAACAGGAAAAATTAGTGAGAACTCTCTATATTATCTTCTGAATTCTTCCATAAATCTAAAATTGTTGCAAAAAATAAAGTAAGGCTTTAAAAAATTGTGTAAATAATAGGCACTGATATGGATCAATTGTTAAGGGAAAAAAGCAAAATTGATACTGAAAGTATTTAACAATTAGAATCGCTTAGGAACCAATCAAAATGGCTGTTGATAATTTATCTTGCTGAGCTGGTGTGTGGCACAGGAAAAAAGTAAAGTGCAAAGCAGAGCTTCCCATGTGTATAAAACGTAGGGACAGAAAATATGTATGTGTGTTTATTTATATGCATTTTTATCAATATAGGCATAGCTTAGAAATATACATAAGAAACTGATAACAGTGGTTCACTGACTCTAGAGAGGAGTTGAATAAGCTCTCCATGCAATTTATTGTTTAAAGCAGGTCAATTTTGAGAATAAAAGGGAGCATTATTTATAATTATTCCAGAACAATAAGCATAAACTTGTGTTGTACTGTTAAGTTAGGTATATGACCCTCCTAGACCTGGGGCAGGAGGGTTTAGAGAGTCAGTGTTTGGAGCAGGATTACTTTTCCCTCTATCATAAGATAAATTGTTCTTATCCTCTTTTTAACTTTTTCAGAGTAAAAAGAGCCCTGGAAAATGGAATGAATATTCAGTCTACAATGAAATCAGAATGGGAGAATGTTAAAAAAAAAATTTTTAGCCATTTTTGCCTATCATTATCATTAAGTAAGAAATTCAACTATTATTGTTAAGATGAAGGGTGAACCTGGGTGTTGAATATTTTAGCTAATAAACTTATTAAGAGTGTTAACAATCAAAACTTCTAAACCTAAGTAGTCCATATAATAGATTAATAGTTGTGGATTTCGAGCCATTCAGAAGGTGAGCATGTTAGTCACTCAGATGTGTCCAACTTTTTGTGACCCCATGGATTATAGCCCACCAGGCTCCTCTGTCCGTGTAATTCTCCAAGCAAGAATACTGGAATGGGTTGCCATTTCCTACTCCAGGGGATCTTCCCGACCCAGGGATTGAACCTGGGCCTCCTGCATTGCAGGCAGATTCTTCACCACTGAGCCGCCAGGGAAGTATTAGTAAACACAGGTGCTGTTGCTAATCTGTGGCTCTTTCTTTCCTTGTCCTTCAACAACCAGTTAAAGTTTTAGGGGTGTGGGATGGGGGGTAGGTAAGCCAAACTCAAACATCATAACTTTACAATGTTACCCAGCAGTATGCTGGTTTCAGTCACACTGATATAAAATTAGTACATAACATTAATGATTGTAACTTCAGAATTTGGTCACTTGGAGAAAATGACGTTATGTGACAAGTGAATTAGAAAAAAAAAATCACTGGCAGATAATCATAGAATGTATATTATATTGCAATTCTTGGTCTAAAAAAATTTACATGCATTAACTCATTTAATCCTTTTACTTTTTAAAAAATAAAACCCAATGAGAAATAGGTACTGTTACAATTCTCATTTTATAGATGAAGAAAACTGAGTTTCAGAGAGGTTAAGTAACTTGCTACATCACACAGTATGTAAGTAGTCGAGTCAAACTTTGAACCCAAGTCAGTAATTTCAGAGTTAGGGCTATTCACCCTGATGTTACATTGCCTCCAGGGTCTGGGTTGGCACCTGGAACTTAAATTCCAACTCCAAATCAACCACTTCCATATTTTTAAAGTAAAATCAGGGCATGCGGTTTGAGAATGGGTTAGTGTGTTTTGTGGATTCCCCCCAACCCCTCCCCCACTCCAGCCAAAATTCAAGATGTGAAGTTACTGTGACTAAAAAGGATGTCACTGAAATCCTCTGGTTTCTGTTCTGTCACCAATGCAGTGAGAGAGGTGAACTATATATTTCCAAGGCTTCACTTGCTTTGTAAAAATAAGAAACTTTCCCAAGTTCCAGATACTCTTTAAAATGTCCTACAAATATTGATTTGTTTTATCTTCCTAACAGCCCTATGACATGGCTTTGCTAGTCCCATAATAGAGAAAAGCAAACTGAGGAAATTTTTGTATTGATACTTCTTTTTGCATTTTGTGTTGATTTAAAATCTTCTACAGCTATGATTTCAGGAGGCAAAGGCAGAACTTGTCTTCACCTGTTCCCTCTTCCAGCAACCAGACTCTCTCTGGTTCTCTGGTCTTCCTGCCTGTTACCCCCAGGGATTGCTTGAGGATTTGAGAAAATCATGTGGATTTAAAAAATGGTCAGAGGAGGCAAGGTAGAAAGCAAAATATTCACAGCAACTTGGATATAGGATAATAAGTGAAAGGAGCAAAATCAACCTGGAAAATGCTGCTTTCACTTGTTTTTCTTCTGCTGTCTAAGTTCCTTACCCCCATCTTGCAAGTACACATACATTATAGGTTAGTACAGAGAAAAATTCTTAACGAAAAGACCATTTCCTTTAAAAATCACCATTCACAGAATTCAGCTCAGCATCAGCCTGAACAATTCCCCAAATATATTAGAACCCCAAGGGTTCTATACAAAGGAAAATGAGACCGTTTCTGGACTTTATAGTCCAAGACAGACCTCAATCTGTGTCTCTGGCCTTACAGTTTCTGGCTGTGAGCCCTTGAATATGCTACTTAACATTTCTAATAAGAGTAGTTTCCTTTCATTGAGCCCAGCCTGAGGGTCAGGGAGGCACTTCACAAACTCCATCTTTAACACGATAGTTCTGGCAGATACTGGCTATTATCCCCATTGTATAGATTGTATCACTGAGGCCCTGTGAATCAACGAGGATTCCAACCAAATTCCCATGCTTTTACCATCACATCCTCTTGCAGTTTCAACCTCAGTCCTCTTTCCTATGAAATGGAATTAAATGATGCCATCCTTCAAAAGAATGACATGCAGCAACATAGATAACATGCCTGGTTCAGAATCAAGCACATGTGTTTACACACTAAACAGTGGCTCTTATTATCATGAAAGAAAGTAACACGGGGGGATATCACAGCGCCTTCACTGCTACATGAGTTAAGAGGAGAAAGCAGTTCTTTCCAACCAGAGAGCATCTCTGGTTTCTTGGTATCTGAGTGGGGCCTTGAAAGAAGAAATATGCTCGGGCATGTGGCAATGATAGGTGAGTGTGGGAAATAAGAAAACCTTCCTAGGTGAATTTTTAAAGTACAGAAATGGAAACTGTCCTGGTTACCTGTTTTTTGTTGTTGTTGTTGTTTTTGTTTTTTCAATTTCCTGAAAGAACTACAAAAGTTCAACTCCCAGCTTTTGAGAGAAAAAAGGAAACCCACCATGAATTTTTCCAGGTTATATAGGATTATAGTCTCAAAGAAGGTGACAGCCCACCCTCTTTCCTAGGTAACACCCTGATTCTAGACAAGAGGGACAAAGAGGAGACTGGAGAAACCAGCTTCTAGAAATGAGAATCTCCAACCCCTTCTTCATCACCTTTCCAGTGTCCCAGACTCTATATCCCTTGAAAACGAGTGCAGCCGGCCAGCTAGTCTGGTTCCAGCTGAATCATTTACACTAAATATGTATTGATAAGTAGAACAAAACTCATTTTATTGCTTATATATAAAAATGAGTTGGTTTTTCTGCCACATCTCCCTGTGAACAAACAGACAGACTTTAAATATATATAAGAACAAGAACAGGCTCGCAAACCACAGAGATGTCAAATGTGGCTATGCTGTATAAAACATGCAACCTAAATTTACAGAAGAGCTTGCTTTCATTTTTGAAGCACAGTTTCTCTTTAAGAGCCTCAGCTGTAAAATATGGAAGAAGTCTTTTGTTAGTCACTTTCACATTTTTTTCAAGTTCAACAAAACAGATAAATACCAAGTTCAGAGTAAATCCCACAAGAGAGCTAGAAAAACAGTGAGAGGAAAGAAGGAAAGATAAGTTGTGACTTAACAACAACAACAAAATATCAAGTCCGTCTAAGACAACCAAAAAAAAAAAGTCTGTATATCACAGCCCTCCCCTTTGAAGAAAGTCTCACGACTTATTTTGCCATAGAGGAAGATAAATGTTACAATATCTCGTGAACCAATCAGCGACGCTGAAGGCCTCAAACCAGGAAACCTTTAAAGTGTAGTATTTTAAATTGTGCAAGTGAGACTTCAGGTTCTCAGTGAGTGTTTCTTCCCTGTGCTTGCAGGATGGAAAAGCAGATGTGAAGGCCCTCATGGCGAAGTTTAACAACGGGGGCAACCCCACGGAGGAGGTCTCAGTCAACAGCCGGCCCTTCAAGGTCCCGGGACAAAACTCCCCTTCAGGAGTCCAGGCCAAAAAGAACTTGTTCAACAACCAAGGAAATGCAAGCCCTCCTGCAGGACTGAGCAACGTGCCCAAATTTGGATCCCCCAAGCCACCTGTGGGGGTGAAACCTTCTCCTGAGGAAAAGCCTGACAAGGAGCCCAAGCCCCCATTTCTAAAGCCAACGGGAGTGAGTCCCAGGTTTGGACCGCAGGCTAACTCGGCCACCAGAGACCCCGAGGTGAAAGCAGGATTTCTGAAACCTGTAGGCCCCAAGCCCATCAACTTACCAAAAGAAGACGCCAAACCTGCATTTCCCTGGCCTCCTGGGACTAAACCTTCACTTCCCAGTGTAAACCAAGACCATGACTTAAAACCAGGCCCCAAGCCGGGGTCAATGCCTCCAGCCCTGGAGAGTGAACCAAAACAAGTCTTGTCAAAGTTGGCTGGGGCAAAAGGCAAATTTCTGTCAGCCTCACAAGATCTGGACCCCAAGCCCCTCTTCCCCAAGCCTGTCTTTGGTCAAAAGCCACCCCTGAACACAGAGGATGCCCAGGAAAACGAGAGCCCCACCAAGACTGTGGCTCCACAGAGAGGGCCCCTGGCACCCCCGGCAGCCAAGGCCAAGCCTGGCCCTTTGAAACCAGCCAGGGAAGAGCCAGAGAATAAAGAGCATGGGGATGAGACGTCAGTATCTCCTTTTCCTGGAGTTGTTCTGAAACCTGCTGCAAACAGAGTGGCCCCCGGAGGCCTCCCCAAAAATACTGAAGAGAAAAGAGAAGATAGGAAGATGGACGCTGCTAAGAATGTCTTCCTGAGCAAAATTACTCAGGAAGAGTCGGCCTCTGGGGCTCCTCCTGCCAAGTTCTCGAAGACCCCTTCAAAGCTGACATCGACAGGGCCCTGGAGCCAAAGTCAAGACAAGGAAAAGGGGGACAAAAATTCAGCGACCCCCAAGCAGAAACCCCTGCCTTCCTTGTTTACCCTGGGACCCCCTCCACCAAAACCCAGCAGACCACCCCACGTTGACCTGTCGAAATTCCGAAAAGCCACATCTGGAAACTGTGAGTTCTCTCCTTTGTTATTTCATGTGTTTTGCTTCCCATCAGAGGGTGTTCTAGCTTCTGGGTAAAAATTTGTAACAAGGAATGATTCCATCACCAGTCCTCCTGTGTGTATGATGACTTTTCCTTGGCAGGTTTCTTTCTTTCTTTTTTTTTTTTTTCTGGTGTGGGACGTCTGAGGGAGTTGAAATCCTTGTTCTGTTCTGTGAGGAAGTGCCTTGAGGGGGCTGCTTTGGGGTCTTGGGGAGGAATACATCCATTTGATTACTAGGTAGTTTTGCTTAATGATGACCATTTCCTTTACTTCCTTTGTTGGCTTTCATTTCTGTTGAACTAAGAATGAGGTGTGTTCCCTCTAGTACCACAAAGGCATTAGAAGGTGAGCAAACCTCCGAGTCCAGTGATGGAGCCCGGGGACATTTGACTCTCACGGCTGCAGGGTGCTCCTGGCACCCAGCGAGTAGAGGCCAGAGATGCTGATAAACAGCCCACAGTACGCAGGACAGCCCCTCCCAAGAAAGAATTATCCAGGCCCGAGTGTCAACAGTGCAGAGGTTGAGAAACCTTGTGACAAATGATTTTAAGTGTCCACAAACTTATCATGTGTCTCGTAAGTCCAGTATTCAAATAAGAGATGCCCAGGACTTGTGAAATGGCACTTACTGTTTTATATTTTAGCTGCTGTTTTTCAGTCAGCATAAAGTTTTCTGAACATTCCTGATTGCTAAAGTAGTACTTTAGGATAATAAGCCAGACAGAGGGACACATTATTTTCCTTCTGGATAAATAGTTTAATTTTCTATCAGAGATGTTACCACCCTGCTATGGCATACAATAAAAGTTGATCCCTAATGACTTGGTAAAGCTTGGTAACCCTCCAAGTGATGCAAGAAGCTCACTTGTGCTTGAAATGATTAAGATTTTAGGCAAATAATGTGCAATTGTTGTTTATCATGAGAAAAGGAAAAGGATGGTTACAAGTGACCACACCACTACTAGATATATCTTTTTTTACTTACAAGAGTGTGATCTATTTAAAGCAATTCTGAGTATAAAGGTAGTTTGTTTTATTTTGGTCCTGTAGAAACATTTTGCAATATGTCGTTTCCCTGAGATCAATATTCTCTATGTCAAACCACAGATTAGTAATCAAATGCCCCATTAATCACTCACATAGAAACAAGTTTGGAATGACCCCACGATCATCTGTTTTCTAGAAAGAGTCAGTCTTGTTCCACTTATGTCCTCATATGTCATCCATCATGTGCTAGTTCTAATACTGATCCATAACTCAGAAATGTTTGTTTTGCTTTTTTTTTTTTAATCTTCTAAAGGACCCTTTCTAATTCCCTATCTTAATTTTTCTGTGCCTCAGGTGAAAATGAGCGATCATAACCACCATTTTATGTCTCTGACTTCATGCCAAAGAAACTGTCCTGATGCAAAATAGAAATCCTTGAGAGGTTTCTTCTATGTCCTCCATCTTTATTTCCAGTGCACTACCTGGTTTGAATGGTGGTACTCGATGTCTGCTATTGTGCTATTGAAATGCCCGTGAAGCTCTCTTTTGGCTCTGTAGTCCCAGCAAGGTCAGCCTGGAGCTGATTTTCAGTGAAATACAGCTCCAAGAGACTCAAGCAAAATTGCTTAGGAAGCCAAGTTGATCCTTGCCCTCTTTCTCCTTCTCCTTGCAACCCTGTCCCTATCCGATGTGCCTCCCCACTGCTCAAGTGTCCCATGACACAGTTAAGATTCTAAGTCTTCTCATCAATGTACCCCAGCTCTACCCTCTGATCCCTTGATACTTATTATGCTTCAAACTGTTCCCTCTTCATCCACCTCTTCCAGAAATCAAAACTCAATCTTTTTTTTTGGTGGGAGGTGGGATTCTGAACTTTTTTAAAAAATATTTTATGTTGGAGTGCAGTCGATTAGCAATGTTGTGATAGTTTCAGGCAAATGGCAAAGGGACTCAGCCATACATATATGTGTATCCAAACTCCCCTCCCATCCAGGCTGCCCCATAACATTGAGCAGAGTTCCCTATCCTAATACAATAGATCCTTATTGGTTATCTATTTTAAGTATAGCAGTGTATATATACATGTCAGTCCCAAACTCCCTAGCTGCTTTTCCCCCATCTTTTCCCCAAGGTAACCAAAAATTCAAAACTCAATCTTCTTAATCTGAACTGACATCAAGTTGTTGTCAGTATAAAGCAATCCAGTTCATAACTAATTCTGAGTAACACCCCTTTACAGCATTCATGATTTTAAAAATGCATTTAATTTTAACTGATTTTTTAAGTAGAAGTTATATCTGGCTCAAAAACAACAACTATAAAATGAAATACAGTGAAAAGTACTTTTAGTCAGTCTCCACCATTTGCTGGGTCTCCACAGAAACGACTCCTCTTAATTGCTATATCTGTCCAAAATTTCTTTATGCTTACCCAAGCAAATATAAATATAGATATTAATCTTCTTGCCTTTTACTGAAGAAATAAAATACAGTATGCATTGCTTTGATCTTCTGATTATATTTTTAAAATAAAAATACAATTCCTGTCTATCTTTCCACATTTTAATAAGAGGTTACTGTTGAGCTGCATGATATTCAGGTAAATGGATGACTTGCCTAATTGATGTAACAGTTTGTATTGTTTCCAAACTTTTGCTCCTCAAAACAGTGCTGCAGAAAACAACTTTGTATATGTGTCACAAAAATGAACACTTATTTCCTGAACACAGAGAATTTCTTCATAGTCAGGCCTGCTGACTCCTAATCCCACCACTGCTATTGTTCCAAAACCATACTAAATAGTTTAGCATTCTGTTTAGGAAGGTTAAAAGAATACCAGAATTTGAAAGTGTATCATAGTATTCAAATTAATTGAAACCTCGTCTAACTCTGTAGGTTTTCAAAACTCTAAAACATTTTTCCTAGCCTTCTACCTGATTCCTTCCTTTCCAGGTTCACATTTAATTCCTTAAACCTCTTTTCCAAATCTGCCTTCCATCTTTTATCATCTTTGTCCAATATATCAGCCAGTAAGGGGACTTCCCTGGTGGTCCAGTGGTTAAGACTACGCTTTCCAACGCAGGGGGACATGGATTTAATCCCTGTTTGGGAAGCTAAAATCCCATATGCCTCATGGCCAAAAAGCCAAATCATAAAGCAGAAGCAATATTGTAACAAACTCAATAAAAACTTTAAAAATGTTCCTCATCAAAAAAAAAACTTTAAAAATAAAAAGAATGCTTATCATTGATTTAGGCTTTGTTACATATTAGATACATGTTACCCCTGTTTATTCCTCCTAAGAAACCAATGGAAATGGGAATTCTAGTGGAAACTAAAGCTCAGAGGGTTAGGGGACTTGCCCAAATCCACAATGTGACTAGGCAGGGAAATTGGTCCTGGGCATTGGGCACAGTCCTCCTGTCTCTGATTTCAGAGCCTGTGACCCCCTCATCACCCTCCCTGCTACTTTCCCTCTCTCGAAACATAATTATTATGAAATAATAACTCAAGCATAAATGAAACCCACAGAATCTTCATCCTTCTCCCTTTCTCTGTCCTTTGGTTGAAAATTGTCATTTTTTTGTGTTGCTATAAATACTATAAATACCAGAAATAAGATCCATGTAGACAGAGGACAGTCTGTTTAACATTATCTATTTGGAGCACAGAAATAATATATTCTTGTTAGTTGTTTAAATTTGTCTTCCCACCAAAGTCTAATAGGAATTCAGTATTCATACTCTCTATAGCTTAGCAATTACTTTTAACAAACTATATAACCCATCCCAATAGGATTATTCTCAATTGAATGATGCTTTGATACAAAATAAATATCTATACAAAATGGCCCATAATTTAGATCTATTCTGTTACTTACTTGTAACCACAGTTTGAATATAACCTGTTACTTTTCTGAGCATGGATTGAATAGCTTTTCTTTTCTCCAGAATCATTGAAGGTACAAAAGCCTAAACTTTAAAAAAAAAAAATCCAAATATCAAAATGTTCTCTGAACTAACCTTTTCTCTGGTTCCTTTTGGTTCCTGAGCAGTAGTGAAAGGCCTTCCTCCCAGACACCAATGTGTGTGCCTCACAGCAAAGTGTGAGTTGCTAAGGACCCCTAGCCTGACTGTAGGTGTGCATGTAGGAGTTGATAAAACCTACTGGGAAACATTCAATCCAACCCTTTTTCTGGTCTTGTTTTTAAAGCTAGAAAAAAACTAAAACTCATCTTTCCACATGTTAGCTTCAAGAATGATCAGCTCAGGGACTTTCCTGGTGGTCCAGTGGCTAAGACTCCATTCTCCCAGTGCTGGGGGGCCAAGTTCGATCCCTGGTTGGGGATCTAGACCCCACATGCCACAACTGAGAGTTTAAATGCTACAACTAAAAGATTCTGCAACAAAAATCAAAGATCCCTCATGCGACAACTAAGACCCAGTGCAGTCAAATAAATAAATATTAAAAAAAGAGAGAGAGAAAATGATTAGCTCATCATCTTGATAACTGAAGGGTTAAGGCCAGGGTGCCAGTGGGCAATAGCAAAGAGCTAATGATGTGGCTGACCCATTCCCTCTCTGTTTGTATCACTCTAACTAATCCATCCTGCACCAACTTGGAACCAAAAGGTGCTTGGGTTAGTTTCATCAGCAACTCGCTTGTTCCTAGGAGGGGCAAGATTTCCCATCACAGGCTCTGAAACTCTCATGTCTCTTCTCTTTCTCTCTCCTTTTACATGTATTCTCTTAATATCACCTTATTAGATTGTATATTTGAAAAATGTTTGATGTCGGTGTGTGTTGATCCTAACTACTGCATGAAAAAGGGATTCAATGCTGAAGCACATTTAAGAAGTGTGAGGCTGAGTGGATCCTTTACAGCAGGATTTCTACAAGCATTACTACACTGCTTTGTGCTTGAAATCTAAGAACAAGGTAATTAAAAACATCCCAGGACAATTTCTCTGAAACATTTCA